ATACAGGGGTACGGGTAATATACAGGGGTACAGGTAATATACAGGGGTACAGGTAATATACAGGGGTACAGGTAATATACAGGGGTACGGGTACTCCTAGAATGAGATCCTAATAGGTTGGACTTGATGGACTAATGTCTTTATTCAACCTCAAATACTATGATACCCGCTACAGCTGGGGCCACAAAAACAAACTGAACACCTCGGCCGCCTAAAATCACAAACAAGAACTGAAAGACTACCAAAGCTATATAAAAGGTACTGTCCACATATACAGCAGAGCTTCAATCAGTGGTGTTTGTAAACTTATTTTGAATGATTCAATTATTCAGTAATAAGTTTAAATAATGGAGGCATTAAAAAGGAGAACTATGGGGTTAAGGTTTTTCCCCATAGTTCTCCTCAGGGTCACGGGAGGACACAAACTAGCGTCCTCCCGTCACCCTAAGCTCAGTATATAGGGAGCTGTAGCTCCCTATATACTCAGACGCCGCAGCTGAAGCGGATCCCGACAATTATGTTTGGATCCGCCCAGCTGCCTGACTGACAGCTGGCTCTGCCTATCAAGAGGCCAGCTGTACCCGCCCCCTCCCCGTCCGTTCCGCCAGTCAGCGCTGGCGGATCGGAGCAGGGGGAATTCAGCCCCTCCCCTGTCACGGCAGTGAGCGGATCGAGAGGTGAGCGAACGCTGGTATGTGTTCGCTCACCTGCCGATCTACTGAGCCGACCTGTGACAGTCTCATTGTCACAGGTCGGCTAGAACTATGAGGTGAGTGAAAAGCACCCACCTCATAGTTCTCCTTTAAAATGGTTTAATGTTCCCTAGTGTGCAAATATCAAGACTTGTAGCTGACAGAGATCTTTTCATTTACTCTCGGTGGCTGAATGGAGACTACAACCTGGTAACAGAAGGCAGCCCAAGGTGCCAGTCATAACATTACCCCTCGGGTTGGCAGGAGATCAATTCTGGGAAGGCGAAGGATGGCAAATATTTGCTGCTTGTGTTTCTCAGAAGTATGTACTGCATGTCTTTGGAAATATCTAAACCTTGTCATGTGTAGCTCTTTCCTACAATGTTAGTCAAACACTAGTGCTGCCAATACACCACAGACAATCTGCTTACGAAAAACCTCCACCTTCCCCCGGTGCTCACAGACCTGTATGTGTTCTCATGTGCCTTCGCAGTTTGAAAGCGTCCGTCGTCGCAAAAGAGCACTCGCCACACATAAACGGCCGCTCCCCGGTGTGAGACCGGATGTGAATCTTCATCCTATTGGCCTAAAGGCAAGATAACTGCAAGTCATACATGGAGTCGTATGTTCCACAGTTAGTAAATACACATTTTATAAAAAAAAAAGGAAAAAAAAACAGTAATATTTACAAGTTCCTGAAACTCATATATTCACACCAGTCAAACATTTACATATAAACTCAACAGTAATAGAAGATGATTAAAGTGACATTAAACCCTCAGATTTTTTAACATAAACCAATACTGTAATGTGTGCCTTACTGTAACCCCTGGTAGTTTCCCTTCTCTTCCTTTTAAATCTGTTTCTCTTCTCATGCTGGGGGAGAACTTCCCTTTTCAGCTGAGTGCCTCTTCCTGTAGTGCTGGCTCAGGTTGTGAACCTACACACAGACACCGTGTATCCATTCCAGAGACAAGGCAGTCTGCTGCAAAACAGAAGTTCTGCAGAGCATGAGAGGAGATACGGATTTAAAAAGGAAGAGCAGCAAAGCGAAGGGAAACAAACATGGATTACAGTAAGGCGCACATTACAGTATTGTGTTATGTAAAAAAATCTGAGGGTTTAATGTCACTTTAAAAGGAGAACTATGGGGTCAGGGCTTTTCCCCATAGTTCTCCTTAGGGTAACGGGAGGACACAAACTAGCGTCCTCCCGTCACCCTAAGCTCAGTATATAGGGAGCTACAGCTCGCGGTATACTGAGACGCCGGAGCGGATCCCGACATCGATGTCGAGATCCGCCCAGCTGCGTGAGTGACAGCTGGCTCTGCCTATCTAGAGGCAGAGCCAGCTGTACCCGCCCCCTCCCCCGTCCGATCCGCCAGTCAGCGCTGGAGGATCGGAGTGGGGAGGGGGGAATCCAGCCCCTCCCCTGTCACGGCAGAGAGCCGTGACAGGATCGAGAGGTGAGGGAACGCCGGTATGTGTTCGCTCACCTCCCGATCTACTGAGCCGACCTGTGACAATCTCATTGTCACAGGTCGGCTAAAACTATGAGGTGAGTGAAAAGCACGCCCCTCATAGTTCTCTTTTAAGGACCTCCCCCCTTATATAACTTCTCTTTACTGTAATGAGACCGAGTGAATCTTATTGATGACTGGTGGGGGCATATTCGAACAACAGCGGGGGAGGGGTGGGGGATGCACAGATTAGATAAAGCTCTAGCAGGGGCATCCTTGCACTGCAGGTTCTCAGGTACAGCTTTCTTTACAGATGATGAATATTTATATTGCATTCTACATACAGGCGACATTGAAGCAGCACATGTCATACCTCCACACTTGAATAATCACAGTAGCAGCACTTGAAGGGTTTCTCGAGTGTATGTGCAGATCTGGTATGGCGCAGGAGGTCTGACGCTGTTCTGTAAGTCATGTCACAGTCTTTACACTTGTGTGGCCGGATGCCTGCAATGCACACAACACTATATTACCATCAGTACAAAATTGTACCCATTGTCCATCCTCAGGGAGGCCCAGCAGGCCACAGTGAAGGCAGCGCACATAGCTATCACATACTAGGTTTCACTTTCCAGGTTCCTCTGAAAAACATTGGGTGAATATGACCAGCTAACATATGCAAAAAGACACTTTGTTCTGGTAATTCAAGGGCAATGCGTGCTATATATCAAAACCGCCTTAAAAAAAATAGCAAACAGATCAGGAGGATCTGGTTTTCCCTTTCTTACCCATGTGAGCACTGACATGGAGCCGAAGTTCTCTGGCGTTGGGAAAAGCTTTCTTGCAAACACTGCAAATGTGTTCATTGGAATGTCTGCGCAGGTGACGCCTCATAGTGGATAGCATTAGGGAGCTGAACTGGCACTGACCGCACCGGTACAGAGTCTTCAGTTCTGGAAAGAGAAATAGGCTGTCAATTAAAATAAAAGGACAGTAATAAAATATTCTTCTTCCCTGCGTCTAAAATTGGAAAATGGTCTTCATGCAAAAAAATTTGGCCTAGAATGACTCTAAATGGCTGTAGGTGAGAAATAAGATTTACAAAATAAGCCATTGCTGGATATGAATGATGACCTGTTGCTTGGAGTCTGTAATGACACCTACACTAATATTAACCACTTGTTACTCTCAAACAGTCTAGGAACCGACAGATGTCAACTCATACTGTGGCTTATTTAAAAGGAGAACTATGGGGTTAAGGCTTTCCCCCATAGTTCTCCTTAGGGTAACAGGAGGACACAAACTAGCGTCCTCCCGTCACCCTAGGCTCAGTATACCGCGAGCTGTAGCTCACTATATACTGGGACGCCGCAGCTGAAGCGGATCCCGACAATTGTGCCGGGATCTGCCCAGCTGCGTGAGTGACAGCTGGCTCTGCCTATCTAGAGGCAGAGCCAGCTGTACCCGCCCCCTCCCCCATCCGTTGCGCCAGTCAGCGCTGGCGGATCGGAGCGGGGGGAATCCAGCCCCTCCCCTGTGACGGCAGAGAGCCATGACAGGATCGAGAGGTGAGCGAACGCCGGTATGTGTTCGCTCACCTCCCTATCTACTGAGCCGACCTGTGACAGTCTCATTGTCACAGGTCGGCTAGAACTATGAGGTGAGTGAAAAGCACCCCCCTCATAGTTCTCCTTTAAAGCTAACCTGCCACATCAACTAAATTTAAAAAAACAACCCTCCTAAAATCCATATAGCCTCCACAGTTGCTTATAGGTACCAGTATGATTAAGTCTGGTGAAGCACAGAACTGTATGTGAACTATAACTTAGTGTTTGGGGGCCGACTGGCAAATTACTAAAGCCCTGTGTTGTAACATGAAGCTAGGGGGTGCCATAAGGCCTGGTTCACACCTAGGCGTATTGCATATGCGCGTCTGTCGCGCGTTTTTTTTACCGCGATTCGCGGTAAAAAAAATCACGCGACAAACGCGCGTTTCCGAGGGCTACTTGGCAATATCCCAATGGAAACGCGCAACAAAAACGGCCCAAAGTAGTACCTGTACCTTTTCAGGCGTGGACCGTTCTGTAGCTCGTTAGGGACGGGCTGAAATACGCCAAGGTGTGAACCAGACCCATTGAAAACAATGGGATTTTCATGTTTGAGCGTTTTGTAGAGCGTTCGTCGAGCGTAGAACGCGCTACAAAACGTTCAGGTGTGAACGAGGGCAACTGCTGACAATACTGGCTATTGACGAGAATTGCTGATGATAATGCAGGGGCGGCAGCAATAGCAGAAGTGGTGTGGCGGAGGTAAGGATAAGTACCGGTACCGAAGAGTGACTAGAGCAAGGTAGGTTGTCATTTTGTTAAAGCAACAAGTGCTATAAGGCACCCCAGGTGACCCCAAACCTGCATCAACTACAATACACAAATGGTCACAACACAATACGGTCGCCTTTCTATAACTCACTAAAGAGCCGCAATGCCTTGTACGATGCAATGTGGTCGCACCTCTACACCTAATTTATGAGTCATTGATTCCATGTTACACACTGTATGGGGGCATATAGTGGAGAGGCATTACATTATATAAACTCATCTCAGTTTTGTGGTCACACCAGGACACAGTCATACCTTTCTTCTCCACGCCTGCAGCCGGTTGCGGGGTCGGCTCCTCTTGCTCAGAAGTTTCCTCTGGCGCAGCAGCACATATCTGTGAATTGTCATGGCCATCCTCCAACTCCTACCAGAAACAAAATTGACCTTAATGACATCAAGAACAAGGTAGAGGCCTCTTGTTACCTGTAGCCTTGAAAGACTCCATCTCCACACTGTGTGCATGAGCTGTCCTACGGATATCAATGTAACTTACAGACCGGCAACACAGCTTTTATACTACGGTATGAGGCAACGCAGTGATCAGTGAGGGGCTTCTGCTCAGAAGTGACAACAGAAAACGCACTGTTTTGAAGCAGGTGACTCCAGGACGATGTAGAGCATGCACCTGCTATAGCCTCACAAACCCTCCTGGCAGTGCTGAGTGCCGGGCCATTCTGGTATACAAAGTTCGGACACTGGGAAGGCCGGAGGATTCTACTAACCCCCACCACCCACATTCCCACTGGCCCATCTCTATGATGAGCATGCTTACTGGCCAAAAGGAATCTGCAGGTGGTAGGTAGGGGTGGGCAAGCTTCAGCACAATCAGAAAGTGCCAATGCTTTGCCTGTCATAAAAGCCTGAGATTCAGCAGTGACAGGAACGTTTGAGAGGTTGGTGCAAGCACCTAGAGGGGCACACACCTGCAGATGTTTTCACTTACTTTCCACCAGTGGCAGGTTCTCTTTGAAGCAGAGCTGTAGCATGGAGAGCAGAGGAAGCTCATGTCATAATATGCAAACATGTACAGACATGCATAGAGTCACACTGTCCCAGCAACCGGCTCCATTCCCTGCACCTTACACATTATGGGAGTACAATGAACGGTACAAGCAATGCAGGCAGTGTACACCATTAAAATAGCTAGAAGAAATGGGAACAAGTTTCTTGTCAAAGAGACACACAGAGTCCCCTCTGCCAAAACCCCCAAACAACCAGATCTTACTTGCCGACTTCCCTTACCTACATTGTTCTAACATGCCAGAGGCTGTTCACCTTGCAGACCTGCTGCGGAACAGGTACGGCCCGGAATGAGATTTACACCCTTCTCCCCCGGATTCTCAAGGAGCAGAAAGAGCTCACCGGACGTTGTCAGAACCACAACGCTTTCCAAGGTTTGGGCCCCTTTCTCACGGTGAACCCATTCCTGGCCGCCCTGCCCTTCACAAAGAAAAACCCGACCCCCTTTCGATCGGCTGAGGCCGACGTAGGCCATTGCCCGTCCCTTCTGAATAACGCTCGACTATCTCTAAGGACAGACTGACTCTTGTTCAACTGCTGTTCACATGGAAGTCTTCTCCACTTCGGCCTTCAAAGTTCTCTTTTGAATATTTACTACCACAAAGATCTGCACGCAACCACCGGGGCGGCCCTCCTACGCGTCAAGCCCTAGCTCCCAGGAATACTCAGCCCTGGCCCGGTATGAGCCCCACGCAATTTTCTTTCTGGTATATTAACCACTTCAAGACCAGGTGTTTAGACCCCCTTCCTGGCCAGGCCATTTTTCAGTATTCAGCGCTGCGGTACTTTGACTGACGTTTATTCCGTCATGCAACGCTGTACTGAAATGAATTTTATACCATTTTTTGGGGACAGATAGAGCTTTCTTTTGGTGGTATTTAATCACCACTGGGGGTTTTATTTTTTACTATAATTAGGAAAAATGACAGAACATTTTGAAAAAAAAAAGTTTTTTTTAACATTATGTCAGGGAACATTTATTATTACCCAGTTTTTTGGTAAAATATAAAAGATAGGGTCACGTCGGTAAATAGACACCAAACATGTCGAGCTTTAAAATTGCGCGCACCCGCGAAATCGCAGAAAACTACCGTACCCAAAATTGGCCATAGGTGACACTTTAAAAGCTTTAACCGCTCATCAGTTTAGTGTTATCGGTGATTGATGGCCCTACAATTATTGCTCTCACTCCGACGTTCACGGCGATATGTAACATGTGCGGTGTAATGGGCGCAATCGTCTTTTTTGCACGTATGCGCCCTCGACGCATGTTTGCATGCGTGTATGTATGGGTGGGGACTTAAAAAATTTTTTTTTGTTTTTTTTATGTGTAACTTTAAATTGGGGGGGGGACTTACATTTTTTTTTCCTTTTTTTTTTTCACTAAACTTTATTGCAATCACATACGGGAGCTAATTAAACTCCCCTATGTGTTAGCAAAATATGTGACAGGTCCTCTTTATGGAGACATCAGGGGTCTCCAAGACCCCTAATGTCACCTAGGACCCCCCAAAAGAAGCTGATGAAGCAGAGATCTGCTCCATTAGCTTCTTTCCAGCTTCTGAAGCTGGAGAGTGACACAAGAATGCGGAAGTGACGTATTATACACCACTTCCGCATTGTTGCAGAGGAGAGGAGACTGGAGGGAGCTCGTGTAACGATCTCCCTCTGATCCCCAGTGACACAGC